TTTGTAACTATGTGATGAAAACACCAAAGTGGCTTTGATAATTTGTTAAAGAAAGCTTATATTCCTTGAAAAACTTATCACCTCTCGTACAAAAATTACGACCCATATGTATACAAAGTAACCCAGGTGTGTAGGTTAAACTTCTTAACAGTAAGTAACAGTGTTACTTACGAACAGCTTTTAATTTCTTGTCAACATACTATCGACGAGTGCCATTTACGCTTTACTTTTGACTGATTGGTTTGTCTTGTTCATAGGCCTGAGATACTTCTTATATATTATATTATGATACTGTACTGAAAGTACACGAGAAGAGAAATTTTGTTACTATAACACAAACTTCCTTGGAATTACTTCAGCACCTAATACTTGAAGTTAATGTTTTAAGGATCACTTCTTAGTTTCTTTCATTGAAAGTAAGTGCGCTAATTGATTTTATTCCAACTTCAACTAAAAATAAGGACAAGGCTAACAATGAAACGGTTCGAAACAAAACTAGCTTATCTCATTTACCAGAACGTTAACTTGCATTGTTGCAAAACTAAACAAAAGAATTTTTATTCTAACTAAATATGTGTGTGTGACTCAGTTGAATATTACTGTCTAAAAAAAATGGGCGTGTCCTAGTATCGGGCATGCTTGAACTATGAATTCGATTATTTATGATTCATGTCCCTTTGCACAAAAGCTTGTTTTGCTCTTTAAGTTCAGGGTGCGCTATGAGAATAACAGTAAAATTTGTTTTTTGTTAAGCACAAAGCCTTGTGTTGTGACTTGGATATTGAAATCCAATTTTTAACGTTATAAACTTTTGATCTCCGGCTGAACTACTGAGGGAGTGGGGGAGCATAACAGTAAAAAAATCCATTATTCGATCCAAGAACAGTAGCCCAAGAATTGGCGGTAAATATTATTGAGAAGCTGCTTTGCGCTATTTTATCAGTTCAAAATTAGGGACGGCTATGCCCAGATAGCCTTTGTGTACCTATGCATAAAAATTATAAACAAACAAAAAGTACCTGAGAAAAGTATCTTGAAAAAACAACTTAATTTATTCAAAACATAGAAATATATAGGCTTCCACCCTGTTCTAACGTTTTCAAAGATATTATCTAAATAATTACATTTTAAGCCACGACTTTAACCCTCGCCGTAAAAAATAAGTAAATGGCACGAAGATATTTTTGGAGGGGAAATTTTACATTGAGTAGAAACCGGGATATAATGTATGGAAATATACCACGCATTAAATATCACTAACCATTTCATGTGACGATCTATGTAGCTGAATAATTAAATATCTTAGACTGAGATATCTTTAAAATATTCATGTGTGCTTTATATGATAACTTACTTAGTGTGAATCATGATAAAGACAATATTAATGTGTATACTTTGGATCAGGACAATAGTGTCTTTTATTTTCAACAATATATTTAAATGAACAACTTGAAAAACGCTAAAGTAGCTTTATCATAAACAATTTTAATATTATTTGTACTTAGTATATTATATATAAGCATATAAAGGGTTAGACAAACTAAAAGCGCTCTCCAAAAAGGCTTAATATATCATTGAGCCACCAGAGTCGTCAAGACATTACCTATTAGATTGGACAATAAAGCAGCAGTATTATGTTGGAAAGTTTAAACAGGAATAATCCACTGTTTTCAAAAAAGACTTCATCCATATCCTTTAGAGATCCCATTTCGAAGTAACTAACGTCTGGGTAACTAGGCAAGCCAGTATAGTTGAATATTCTTTAACATGAACTCTTTAACTGGACTATTATCATCCCAAAACCTTGGTTCGATGGAGCTAAAATCTGGTAAATGGACAAGCTAAGGTAGAAGACTATTATTTAACAAAATCTCCACCCACTTCCTTTAGAGATCCCGATTCAACTGTACTGAATGTTGGTAATTCTAGTGTCAGGGTAAGTTACCATTCCTCAAAAAGAACTCTATCCAATTCCTTTAGAGATGTCGACTGATGAGCCAAGATCTAGTAATTAGGCAAGTAAGGGTAGACGACAATTTTGTAACAAAAACTATACCATTCCTTCAGCGGTGTCGGTTCGATGGGACCAAGATCTGGTAATTAGGTAGGCATGGGTAGACGACAATTCTGTAACAAAAACTATACCATTCTTTCAGCGGTGTCAGTTGGGTCGTCTACCCATGCCTACCTAATTACCAGATCTTGGTCCCATCAAACCGACACCGCTGAAAGAATGGTATAGTTTTTGTTACAGAATTGTCGTCTACCCATGCCTACCTAATTACCAGATCTTGGTCCCATAATTCTGTAACAAAAACTATCCCATTCCTTCAGAGATGTCGGTTTGATGGGACAAAATCTGGTAATTAAACAAGTGAGGGTAAAATACAAATATGCAACAAAAACTCCATCTTATTCCTTTAAATGCGACTGAGGTCTGGTAATTGGTCAGGCCGCGACCTCCCTAGTCTGTTACTCTGCTTGCAACGTGAGTAATGCATTGTGGTCTTGAAAGATACCATTACCAACAGTACAAAGGCAGTGCTACGATACAGAATATTATTCTAAGCCATTAACCTATCCTATTGTTTCAGTGTAATAACTGAACAAAGTCCATACTAGCAGAATGTGGCACACCTTATAATAGAACGCCTGTTGTATACGAACAAAGCGTTCAGGCTTTACGTTCCTGGAAATTATCTTTATGCTTGCACTTGTTCAAATGATAAGAAGAGTCTAATCGTTAACACAGCTGGTCAGGTCACTGTACAGAGACAACATATTTTACATGCCTGAATGAGCGTTTCTCAGAGTATTGACTGGTTTGCGGAAGGTGGCTGTACCATCGTATTCCGTAAATTATTGAGCTCACGTTGTACTTATTCTCTGACACTGTTTATTAACGTTCAGTATGAACTCCGAGCATATCTTAGTCGTTGTCATCTTCCTCTTTTGTTTCACAACAAAATGGTGATGCCCCATCTGTATATATCCTGCTAGTATGGCTGCGATATAAGACAAACGTCTTTTACACACATATACCTCTACTGTATGAAACTGACTTGACAAAAAAATCGAATATTTAATCAGTTAATTTCTGTTTTACAAACAAGTTGGTTATTACGAAAATATACATTTGGATTAAGAAAAGGTCTAACTTTACCGAACTTTATTATTTACTGTTATGAAATTTAAAATTTTAGCTCTTTAATCTAAGATGTTTTTGTATGAGAAACTACGTTTTCAGCTGTGTATTCAGTTTATGTTTTTCTAAGAGTTTCTTTTGGAAAACATTAAACACAGGTTGAACTTTGTTATAGATAAACTATATATAAATGTATATAAAAAGCAATCACAGTACCCTAGAAATAAATTATTTAATTAAACCTATGTTTCACCTATATGGTTTCATCAGGGCTCTTACAAAATATCGAAAAGTTAGGTTTAAATATACATTAAATTTTCTATTTCATGTAAGATTAGTCGTAACGTGATCCATCCGAGCGACGTTAGAAATAACATTGGTGTAAAAGCATAATTACAGATTAGTTATAAGAGTAACATATGGATAAACAATTTTTTGTTAAAGGATGAGAAATAAACACTGAATATATGTTGCACCACAAATACCAGCTTTTGTCTCTGTTGACTGTACGCTGGAGTTGGGAAATTAATGAAGCCACTGTATACTTTCGTTCAAGTAAAAACTGTCTCTCTGTAAATATTCTGCCTGTGTAAGGAAGATCTGTATTGGTTGAGAGAAGATTATGTTTATCGAAGATGTGTTGAGTTGTGATACTCCTGTCTGGTTCAAACTTGTAAGTGATCTGAATGTAGAGCAAATTTGTGTGTTGTTATCTGCCTATTTCACTAACATATATTTCTGAACAAATTAGACATTTTAGTTTGTAAACTGCTTTAAGAACAAACATGCAATACATTCATTTCCAGTACCAGCGGAGTTAATAAGACACTATTTTCTTTACATCTTTTACGGAGAACTTGTTAAAGTTTTCGTAGAGTGTGATTGGGTTTTTTTACAACTCGAATCGGAAAGCCAATTTTCTTTACTGTATTTCTTGTTTTCTAGCAACGTGGTTAATTATGTACATTATGGTAAATACGTCTGTTGGTTTCAGTTTCTCTTCAGTTTCTATGAGGTCTATAGTTAAGAAATAGTGTGTCTGTGTGATCAATCTTCTAGATATCCATTAAATTTAAGAATACATTTAAAATGTTCGAGAGTTTACATTTTGAAAAACTGTGATAGGTGGAATTTCTGTTAATGCGTTTCAATTAATCATTTACTGCATCACGTTTAACAGTACCAGGATGATGAGAGTCATTTTGTAGGAAAGAAGATTTCATCATGGGTTTCCTGTAAGATGCAATGATTATTTTTTTCCTTTTACTATTCAGGGCTGCTGTAATGACTAAAAAAGAAGAAATTTACTTCTCAGTATTAAGGAGATGAGATTAAAGTTCCTGTAAGGTGCAATGGTTATTTTTTTATTTTACTATTCAGGGCTGCTATAATGACTAAAAAATAAATTTACTTCTCAGTATTAAGGAGATGAGATTGAAGTTCCTTGAAGGTGCCATGGTTATTTTTTCTTTCTTTTACAATTTAGGGCTGCTGCAATAACTAAAAAAGAAATCTACTTCTCAGTATTAAGGAGATGAGATTAAATTTGATGTTAGGGTGAAATGCGTTTAGAAGTCGTGGAAACGTACGAGGTTATCGAAGTCATTATACCCTAAACTTTATGCGTAACTAAAAGTTTCATGTGTGGAGGATTATAAATGGTTTATACTTTACAAAACTTTCCAGTTTAATGTCTTGGAATCAATGTATATGTGTAGTTTGTGCTTGTATTTTATAATCCTTATCTTGTTATTTAATTATAAACTGATGTTTCCGTTTTAAAAGTTTCCTTACTGAAGTTGTAATATAATTGAACTTAAATTTTCCTATATTACGTTCTATATTTCCTTTGCAGGAGGCTTTGATCACACGATTTAGGAACTCTGCCAATATAAGGATCATTCATCTTGTAAGCGGTGGAATCGTCTTTATCCTGGTGATGGTATTTTTATTTTACTGGATATCTAGGCGTACAATCCGTGACTCTGGTGAGAAAGTGAAAACATAGAAAACTTGTTTGTATTGCTGTAACAAAAATTATACTTCTTATTTTTTTTTATATATAACCAGCACCATCCAACGTTAACAGGAAAAATGTTTCTATGTAGAATGTAAAAGGACGATATTTCTTAGTCTCATTTTACTCTACGCAGAAATTATCTGGATTTATTAATCTCGTTTTATTCTAGACATAACATAGTCTATAATTCCCTAGTTTTATTTTACTCAACACATAAATGACTGGGATTTCTTAATCTCGTTTTACTCTAGACATATTTGATATGTTTTAAATTAATTTTATACTACACATTAATGATGTGGATTTATTAATCTCATCTTTGTCTAGACTTACCGATATAACACATTTTTTCGTCTTATTTTATCCTACGCATAAACAACCAAAATTTATTAATCTCGTCTTATTCTAGATATAACGAGATAACGTAGACGATATTTTTAGTTTCAATTTAGTATACACTTAAAGGATCTGGACTTATTAATCTCGTCTTCCTCTAGATATACGACATTTCCTAGTTTACTCTTATTATACATACAAATGATCAAAATATTTTGATCCCATCTTACTTCAGAAAAATAGCTTACATTTCTTAATTTCATTTTACTGTGTACATAATGTATCAGGGATTTTGAAAAATCGTTTCACTTTATATATAATATGATTGGAAATTCTTAAGACTCATTTTATTTTACATACAACCAGAAGCTCTCCTACTGGATGTTATGAGTATAGAGTAAGAAGAGACTAACAAATTCCGGTCATATTACGTGCGAAGCAAAACATGTCAAATAAATACCGGTTATGTTATTCGTTGAGTAGGCTGAGATTATAAATCCCACTCACATTATGTGTAGAGTAAAACAAAACTAAGAAATGTCGATTATGCTGTTTTCAGTAATAGTTTTGAATATTAACTTATGTAAGTACTTGTTTCTTTAAGAAATTATAGTGAAACTAAGATAAGTAGAACAACTATACAAAATTTTATCTGAATCAATAACATTACTAAAGTGTATTGTTTCAAAGCTATTTGTTTTAGCAGTAGATCTGTAAAAATAGATGTTTCTTTAAGACTACAAAAAGCCACGGTTTGATAAAAGTAAAGCCTTTCTTGCAGTTTTAAAGCATTACATTTCCTGTTTGTCTTGTGTTCTATCCAGTTCGTAGTAATGTTTCACACTCGCGCAAGGTATGTTATGTCCTATATATATATATATATATATTTGTTTCTCTTGAACGAAGTTTTGTCTTAAATTTTTATAATATGCAACACGATTGTTGACTATTTCAAGAAAGCAAAAGTACTCATTCAAATTGGGACTCAAAATTTAAGATTGGGTTAACAGGTAAGTGTGGCTCATTTATCAAATAATCCAAAGAAACATACACAAAAAAATATGTACTAAATGCTCTTACCAACAACAAGAATCAGGTATCTTTGTGACTCTCATTTTTATTACTGTTGCATTTTAGTTTAATTAACACTCGTGTTTATTTTATATGTGTTTTAATATATTAATACAGTATTTTCGCAGAATAATCAAAATAGTCTAAAGTAAAAATTAACAAAAATTAAGGAATTAGAAACTAAGGAGTCTAGTAAGTATAAGAAATGTGGCATGAAATTATGAACAATTGCAAAACATAAAAACACCACTAGATAGTTACAAAAATGTAAAATAATTATCAGCATCTGATGTGTGGTTAAACTCTTTTAAGCAATTAAAGCATTTAATTTCAAAAACATTGTAGTAGTTTCTATTCATAGTGTCCTTGTGGCTGGATTACATTAAAAGATATCACTTGTGAATAACGTTTAAAATATAATATTTCTGTAAACTTTGAGCTACCAAATTTCACACTTAACTTTATAATCAATGACGCTTCTGGATTTTTTATTTGGGGAAGTAAAGAGACAAAGATGTAGTTTTTGGTAAAAAAAAATGACGCTTTCATACCACTGGGAGTCATAAAGTAGAGAACTTAAAAGCTTAAAAGACAATATCTCAGATGGGGCTACTGGAGAACAGAGCTCTCCAATGGGGTCTGTCTCCAATGCCAACCCAGTGGACACGTCCCTGACTTTATTACAATGGAGTCTGTCTCCAATGCCAACCCAGTGGACACGTCCCTGACTTTATTACAATGGAGTCTGTCTCCAATGCCAACCCAGTGGACACGTCCCTGACTTTATTACAATGGGGTCTGTCTCCAATGCCAACCCAGTGGACACGTCCCTGACTTTATTACGATGGGATCTGTCTCCAATGCCAACCCAGTGGACACGTCCCTGACTTTATTACGACGGGGTCTGTCTCCAATGCCAACCCGGTGGACACGTCCCTGACTTTATTACTTTTAATGAATTAACTTGATAGCGTTTAATGATCATAAAGTTTCATAACTCTGACTGTTTTTCACGTTAACATCATCTGCTGCACATATTTTTTGTTTTCTTTGTCTCCTGGTGACGAAAGATAGAAAACATTTATACTCAATTTATATGAATATACTGCAAAAACAAAAGATCGACTAGTGTGAAGCTCATCTAACAACGTTTACTAAACTTGTTAGCTTCTCAAATTTTTATGAAAGCTATATACCTATTTAGTTTCCCGTTCTTTGATAATTGTAAAAAAATGTACTTTGTTACGAATGTCAAGAATGTTATTTAAGTTTTCTGAAATAATAAAAATAAACTTTTATTATCCATCAGTGGCTTCTAGATTTTTCAAAAACTTTATTTTAAGCGGAATTTTAAGAACATTTCATCACAAGTTTTGTTCAAAACCCGAAACTTCTATGAAGTTATTTTGAAAAATGAACTAAATAGTTAACGTATTGATAAAATGTTCTGCTTTTACGTTCACCTAATGAAACTATTGGTGACCAAACGTAAGCAAAATTCTATTTAAAAAGAAAACTTGCTATGTAAAGTCAGTGATCTATTTATTAACGTAACACCCTCGTGTAACAAGTTTCTTTTTCTTTTTTTTTTAATTGGAAGCCTCGGGCGAATCAGACTTCCTGGTGGAGAGTTCAACAAAAGTAATTATGACCGTAAAAGACAACTTTTGAAAGAAAGGTTCCTGAAAAACGACTGGTTTACCCCGTATTCGTCCTTAGCGTATTTTATGATCCCAGGAAATCTGCTATTTATTTAGGCAGGAAATTTTACCGCCTTTGTAGGTTAATGTCCAAGGTGTCTTCTAGACAGAGGTCTACTTATTGATTGGAAGGAAACGGCTGCTATTATTTGACAGTGATTATGATATCCAAAAGTGATTTTAAATGACCAAAACAAGTTAAGCGATGTTACCAGTTTTTTTTGTTGTTGTTGTTTTTTGCTTTTTTACAGTTACATAACTATACCTAGTTTGGTTGGAACCTGAAATATAAATATACGTGTAGGCTATGACTAAGAACAGGAATCTGCTAATAGCACCCACCAGAAGCTGCTGAGGCGTGTGTCGAAAGAGGGCGCTGACCGCCGACATCGTATAATTAAAGTTCTCATTGAAGCGCTATTATTGCTATCACTTCGTGATTAAAGAAATGTGTTCTAGCGATATCACACATGATTAAACAGATATAAAACAAAGATAAGTAGCTGTAAATAAGACATGAAAAAAGTTTTTAATTGAGGAGTTAGAGAGAGAGAAAAAATCAAAACCACATGGTTTGCATGATAATAAACTTTAAAGTATAGTATCATCACGTGTAGTTTAATAAGTGTTATATGATAGCAACAATAATAGACAAAGTTTAGAGGAAATGTTTTAAATAATAAGTATTACTGTAATAAACAATACAATTTGATACTATTCATATAGACTATTTCTGCGCTAATCTTAACAACCATAGGCCACAGTGCAATCAGATCGCACAGTCCATTAATAGGCTGCGGGCCAGCGGCGAGGTGGGAAAATTGTGCATCTTCGCTCCTCAAAACCAAAATAATATTAAGGCTCAACTTAGACACTTAACTATTATATTAAGAAATTAAGCATAACATGGTTTGTTGCAGTTTTGTGAGATTTAGTTTTAAATGTTATTTTTACGCAACAAGTCACAGATTCAGACATTTCAGGCAAAGCTATTGCAAGGAGCTGTATGTGCATAACTGACGCTAATTTTTGACTGACAGAACAAAGGGAAGGCAGTTAGTCAACAACAACCACCAACACATCTTGAGCTCCTCTTTTCTGACGGAATAGTAGGAGTTGACAGTCATTCTTATAGCACATCCACGGCCCCAATCTGCGGACTGCGTTTTTACAGTAACAAGCCGAAAATCATAAACCCTTGAATTCATGTCCGAGCACAATAGTCTTTGAAAGTGTAAAACGTTGTTAGTCGAATAACTGCGACAGCAAAGTGTAACTAAATAATAAATATTTATTTTGGAAGAGCGCGAAACCTATAAATGTTGCTTTTTCTCGAGGCTATACCCATTTGGACTTATACTTCAAACTGTACCCCCCCCCTTCTTGCAACATAGTATTGGAACATATTTCGGAAGGTTAGAACATTACAAAAAAAATCAGCGTTAAGGAGTAACTGGTCTTCAACAGATGTAGACTACTTGAGAAAAACTATACTAGACATGTACTATCAAAATCTTGATGTTGGACTGGGAATACATCAGGTATAAAATTATGATAATAAGAAAACGATTAATAATGTTTGAACAATACGTTATTAGAATTTCAATTACAGATTTATGTTGATAAAATAGAAAAAGGTTTGTTTTTTTAAATATCGCGTATTTTTTAATGTATATTAACGTTAATGAGCCTAAGAGAACAAGGAGAAAGATAAAAAAATACTGTATTATTCGCAACATACGTTATTATTCTCTCTTATAAAAAAATAATTATAATTATTAAAAGTATTATTCACCGCAGTTCTTGTAAACGTCTTACACTATCCACGCCTCTTTCTCGAAATATGGACCAAGAAAAATAATTTCTACATGATGTTTTTCTACCAGAAATAAGTTTTAACTCAACTAATGTGTTTCAAGACCTGATTTATTCTGGAACATTTAGCTCGAAACAGGTGTTTTAGGCATGCTATTTTGTAGGTTAA